TCCTTAGAGTCTCCTTTGGCTTCTCTTTCCTCAAATTATATATCCCTCATCCTGTCCATCAGCGAGGGCTCTTGACCTTTTTTTTGTTTTTGTTTTTTTGGAGACGGAGTCTCACTCTGACACCCAGGCTGGAGTACAGTGGCACGATCTCCGCTCACTTCAACCTCCACCCCCTGGTTCAAGCGATTCTTCTGCCTCAGCCTCCCGAGTAGCTGGGATTACAGGAATGCGCCACCATGCCCGGCTAACTTTTGTATTTTTAGTAGAGGCAGGTTTCACCATGTTGACCAGGCTGGTCTCATCCTAACCTCAGGTGATCCACCCACCTCAGCCTCCAAAAGTGCTGGGATTACAGGCGTGACCCACTGTGCCCAGCCTCGACCTTTCAAACATAGCCCAATCTGACCACTTCTCCCCATTCCCACTGTCCCCAGCCCATCCTAGACACCACCTTCTTCCACCTGGACCCCTACAGTGACCTCCTCATTGCACTCCTAGTGTCTCCCTTCAGTATCCTTGTTTATTGTCCATGCAGCAGGCAGAGGATCCTGAGGACCCTAAGCCAGATCCTGTCCGTCCTTCACTCAGAACTGTCCAGTAGCTTCAGTCTCAGAGTAGAGACCCGAATTGTCATCACAGCCCACAAGGCGCTCTCTCTGTTCCTGTCGCCACCTCCTCCACACTGGCCTCCTTGCTACGCCCCAAAGCCACCCTTTCCATGATCTTTGCATTTCGCTTTTCGCTCTGATTGGAATCTCCACATGGCTCCATTCCTAATTTCATTCAGGTCTATGCTCAAATGTAATCTCATCCTAGGGATCTTTCTTGGGCTCCCTTGAAACTACCCCATGTCCCCCAGGCTGGTCAGATGTCTCCTCTGGACTCCTTTATTCCAGCCCTGCTCACTCTGGGTCATCACTGCCTGAGGACAGGTCTGTGTCCCCTATTGGACTATGAGCCCACAAGGGCGGAACTGTGCTGTGTCAGTCCTAGATGTGTTTCCAAGACTGCCCAACGTGGGTCATGCACACAGCAGGCACTCACATGATGTGCTGATAATGCTGGATAATGTGGATGAGTGTATTTTCTTTTTTTTTTTTTGAGACAGGGTCTCATACTCTGTCAGTCAAGCTGGAGTGCAGTGGCACAGTTACAGCTCACTACAGCCTCCACCTACTGGGCTCAAGCGATCCCCTCACCTCTGTCTCCTTAGTAGCTGGGACTCCAGTCGCACACCACCCATGCCCAGCTAATTTTTTTTTTTTTGTAGAGATGGGGTTTTGCTCCATTGCCCAGGCTGGTCTTGAACTTCTGTGCTAAAGCAGTTTTCCAGCCTCAGCCTCCCAAAGTGCTCGGATTATAGTTGTAAGCTACCGCACCTGGCTAGAAAACTTTCCTTTGGTGCATAAAAATGATAGAAAATTCAAATTTCAGTCCCAGTAAGTAAGGTTTTGTTGGAGAACAGCCATGTTCATTTGTTTCCATATTCTCTTTTTTTTTTTTTTTTTTGCTCTGTCGCCCAGGCTGGAGTGCAGTGGCCGGATCTCAGCTCACTGCAAGCTCCACCTCCCGGGTTTACGCCATTCTCCTGCCTCAGCCTCCCGAGTAGCTGGGACTACAGGCGCCCGCCACCTCGCCCGGCTAAATTTTTGTATTTTTTAGTAGAGACGGGGTTTCACCGTGTCAGCCAGGATGGTCTCGATCTCCTGACCTCGTGATCCGCCCATCTCGGTCTCCCAAAGTGCTGGGATTACAGGCTTGAGCCACCGCGCCCGGCCTGTTTCCATATTCTCTATGAGTGCTATTGTGCTACTTGGCAGAGCTGAGCAGTGACAGTAAAATACTTTACAGAGAAGGTTCACAGACCTCTGTTATATATTTTGCCAAGAAGAAAAATAAAATAAAGTTAAAATAAAAACAATTTTGCTGGCCGGGCGCGGCAGCTTACACTTGTAATCCCAGCACTTTGGGAGGCTGAGCAGGGTGGGCAGGGCGGGTCACCTGAGACCAGGAGATGGAGACCAGCCTGGCCAACATGGTGAAGCCCCATCTCTACTAAAATACAAAAATTAGCCAGGTGTGATGGCGTGTGCCTGTAACCCCAGCTACTCAGAAGGCTGAGGCAGGAGAATCGCTTGAACCCGGGAGGTAGAGGTTGCAGTGAGCCAAGATCGCCCCACTGCACTCCAGTCTCGGTGATAGAGTGAGACTCTGTCTCAAAAAGAATTTTGCCAAGGAAGATTCTATTTGGGCCACCTGTGGGCATGTGAGATCAGTAAGATATGGCAGCTAATTATGCAGAGTGGGTGATGAGGTTTAGATACCTCACAGGGAGCGCTCTTTTTAACATTTTCTTTCCTTTCTTTTTTATTTTTTTTTTTGTGAGACAGGGTCTCACTCTTCTCAGGCTGGAGTACAGTGGTGCAATCATATCTCACTGCAGCCTCAACCTCCTTGGCGCACTAGATCCTCCCATCTCAGCCTCCTGAGTAGCTAGGACTACAGGAGCGTACCCTTTGCCCGGCTAATTTTTCTATTTTTTCTAGAGATGGGATTTTGCTATGTTGCCCAGGCTGGTCTCAAACTCCTGGGCTGAAGTGATCCACCTGCCTTAGCCTCCCAAAGTGCTGGAATTACAGGCATGAGCCACCTCGTGCCCAGCTGCCTCTTCCTTTCTAAAATTAAAATGTAGTGGCCGGGCGTGGTGGCTCAGGGCCTGTAATCCCAGCACTTTGGGAGGCCGAGGCAAGAGGATCGCTTGAGCCCAGACTGGAGACCAGCCTTGGCAATATAGTGAGACTTCATCTCTATAAAATAAAGTTAATTAAAATTTTTATTTGTTTGTTTGTTTATTTATTTGAGACAGAGTCTTGCTCTGCTGTCCAGGCTGCAGTGCCGTGGCGTGACCTTGACTGCAGCCTCTGGCTCGCAGGTTCAAGTGATTCTCCTGCCTCAGCCTCCTGAGTAACTGGGATTACAGGCGTGTGCCACCATGCCTGGCTATTTTTGGGGCATTTGTTTGTTTTTGAGATGGGGTCCCGGTCTGTTGCCCAGACTGGAGTGCAGTGGTGCAATGTCTCAGCTCACTGCAACCTCTGCCTCCCCGCTTCAAGCAAGTCTCCTGCCTCAGCCTCCTGAGTAGGCGGGATTACAGGAGCCCACCACCATGCCCGGCCCAGCTAATTTTATTTATTTATTTATTTTTCGAGACAGCATTTCACTCTTGTCGCCTAGGCTGGAGTGCAATGGCGCAATCTCAGCTCACCGCAACCTCTGCTTCCCAAGTTCAAGTGATTCTCCTGCTTCAGCCTCCCAAGTAGCTGGGATTACAGGCATGCACCACCAGGGTAATTTTGTATTTTTAGTAAAGTTGGGGTTTCTCCATGTTGGTCAGGCTAGTCTCGACCTCAGGTGATCTACCCACCTTGGCCTCCCAAAGTGCTGGGCTTATGGGCGGGAACCACTGCGCCCAGCCTATGTTCATGTCTTCTATAGCCATCTTTATTCCTTCCTCCCTCTTTGTGACCTGTTTGTCTGCATCAGTGTTTCATCTGGGGCTATCAGGAGACGTCTGACAATTCATGGAGACGTTTTTTAAAAAAACATTGTATTGAGATGCAATTCACATTCACCAGTTCACTGTTCACCAGTGGTGACATTTTTGGCTGTCATAACTTGAAGAGGGGATGCTACTGGTATCTATTAATAGGGGGCAGAGGCCAGGATGCTGCTTAAACCCTACACCTATGCATTGGACAGGCCCCACAACACAGCAGATAATTATCTAGCCCCAAATGTCAATAGTGTCCAGATTGAGTAGCCCTGGTTCACATCCTTGGCCTATCTGCAGGGTCCTGTCTTGCAAGGAGCTCATAGTTCATGTGCAGAGACAGGAAGAGCCTAATAAGAAAAAGGACAATTTAGGCCAGGCACAGTGACTC